CCTGGCTGCTAGGCAGTGCTCAGAGTTTTCGGGGTGGTCTTCCTGCTCTGTTGGGGGACAGTTCCACAGCTGGGGAGGAGACTGCAGAGGGAAAAGTTCTTCCTAAAGGGCAGGCCATGCAGCCCTGGGGTGGACACTGCCTCTGAGTGCCGCCCTTTCTGTGCTTCTGGGGACAGGCAGTGTGATCTGTGGTGGCATCCAGCCTGCCTCTTTATGAGGTGTTGCTGACAGATGCTTGGGCCACAAGCCCAGGAGGCAGGTGCCCTTCTCATGCTTCTTCCATGGAGGATCCCTATCCTTCTCTTCTTCCCAGGCTCCATTTGGTCACAGGAACAGCACTGGCACCAGAGAGAACTCTAATGCAGATAAGGCTAATTGTCGGTGGCCTCCTCATTGCCATCACCATTCCCCAAAGTTGCCAGGTCACCTCATGACCTCACACTGCCCTGGATCCTCTCTCTGGCCCCTCACTCCTGCCCACTCTGCTCCACATAGCCTCCTCATTAAAAGTTTCCTATGTGGAGTCCCAGCTGCTCTGTGGTGCTTATTAAATGAATCAGCTGGACTAACAGCTTAAAAGTCACCCCTCCTGATAATGCATCCCAGAGCCTTCGGTGCACCATGTTTTAATCCAGGGATTCAGTTCAATTCAATTCAATTCAATTCAATTCAATTCAATTCAATTCAATTCAATGTGTGTTTCCCAAACCCCATGGTAGGGTTCCTAAACTGGACAGAAACAACCCAGAGAGATGGAGAGAAGGAGAGAATCTTGGAATGGCACCTCTGCAGACTTCAACCCACAGATAATGGCTCTCAACTTTACCTATGGCAAGAGCCACTGTGCCTTTGTTTATGCTCTCACTTGGGGCTTCCGAGCAAGCAGGTATAAATCACTCAGGGCATGGTAAGCAGGCCTCAGGGCCTTCCTGAGGACCGTGTGTGGCTCTCTTACTGACTTCAGTGGAATAAGCCACCCTAAGACTGCTTTATGGTCTGCTTCCAGGGTTTTCCATTTCTTGGGAGTATGACTCAGAAAGGCTTGTGGGTCTTGGGAGGGAGGTTATCAGTTGGATCATCTTTCATAAGAATGTGCTCTCTGCCTCCAGGCTGGGGCTCACAGAGTCATGGCAATATGTAAGTCACTTGGTTATAAGGGGCTAAAAGGCTAACGCTGGGATGTTTTGTTGCCCTGACCTCCAGTTTCCTGGACTCTGGCCCATACTGGACTTTGCATCATCCTTTGGATTGAGAGGGACATTAGAAAGAGCTCAAGTTCTCGTTCCGGTTTTGATTTGGTACGGAGGAGCTGTGCAGCCCCAGGCAGATCACTATACCTCTCTGGGCTTCCACATTTCTCCTTAGTGAAAAGAGGAGACTGGAATAGATTAAGGTTCCTTGAAGTTTGTTTTATTAGTCCCAGAAGACTGTGTGCAAAGTAGATTTGCTGCTCCTTCTTAGAGATTCATGATCCACATTAGCTTATTAAAGGCTCTGACAACTGTTAAAGACACTTGGTTAATGCTGTTTAACTTGGCATCCCCCAAACTTACTGGATTGTGAAACTCTTTCCTTGTGTAACACCTATTAGCATCCAGGGGATATAGGGTTGCCCAGAGCCTACTGTGGAAAATAGGGAGACTGGCCATTTCTGATACTTTGTGACTCTCCATTGGTTTGAGCAACATACGAAATTTCCAGCAGCCTGCTGCCCTCGTCAGAGCATTGCTCTCCTCATGGTGTCAGAGACATGCAGCCGGGCCTGTGTGAGCTGTCACAACCCACTCCAGCTCATGGGCTGTAGCTCAAGCCCAGGCCCTGGATCTGAAAGCCTCCTGGAGACTTCTGGCTGGACAGAACCTCCATGGAATATGGACTCCATCCCCAGCACCTCCACTAGGCCGGAGTCTCAAAGGCCAACATTGCATGCCAGTTTCTTTTCACAAAATCCCTGAGGAAGGACATTTTACAACTGCCTCCTGCAGTTTATTTCAGGCTCAAGCCCACATTTAAGTTTAAGCAAATCCCTCTTGCTGCAGTGACAAGCCAGAATTCACATGTTGCTTAAGATTTATTGTGTGCCTCTTATAAAAGAAATGAACATTCTCTAGGGCTTCATTTAGTGGCTGAGAGGTCAGCACATAGGAGTCTCCCTGGAGAGAGCAGGGTGTGCCACAGATTCCTGATATGCTCCTAACCCCAGGGGGCCTCAGTTTCCTCCTCTGCTGAATGGGAATAAGGATCCCTGCTCTATTTCGCCCTCATTCCTGGGGCATCAGGGGGCACAGAATCAGTCTGTGACCACTATAATGCTATGCAGAATCACTATGCAACCACTATAATTCACAGGCACATGAATTAAACACCCTGCACTGGGGAGAAAGAGAGGGAAACAAGTAAGACTTTAAATAGACCTGAACACGCAACAGGAGACGTGAATCCACTGTTCCGTACAGCTCCCAAGTACGCCTCACAATGTGGGCATCTCACTGTGATTTTAAAATGTTTAAAAATATCTAATTTTTCATACATCACGGTCTTGAAATGCAAACCAACTACTTCATCTGGTACTGAACCAAGGGAAGAGAGCCCTGCCGCCACATTGGGAAACACCGCCTGCCAAGGGTTTCTTCGTGGGCATCATGCTGGTCTCCCTGGCGCACCCTTCTGGGGAGTTTTCAGGGGTAATAGTGTTGACTGTGTGTCTGCCACACGCCGCCCTTAAGCCAGACCCCGCAAAAGGTGCCTCCTCTGGGCAGGTGCAGGGCTCTTGCTCGAAGCGCCCGGCCGCCGGGCACGCTCCGCCCGGGGAGGGGTGCAGAAGGCTTGCTGCGCGCAGGAAGCCCTGCGTGACCAGCCCTGTCTCCCTAGACGCTGGCCCGACCGTCGTGGACAGCGGAGCCGGCGGGGAGGCCCCCATCGGCTTGCTCCCCGGCGGCCGCTGGGCCCCAGTCCCCCAGGCGGTGACCGCGGGGACGCGCCTGCGGTTGTAGCGGCGCGCGCGGCCGCTCCAGTCTCATTCATGCCGCAGCCCATTCACCCCGCGGCCCCGCACCGCACGCGCTGTGCGGGGCAGTTATTTTTGGCCGCAGGCGAGCTTGTGCGCGAGGAGGGAGCCGGCGCGCCGCTCTCCGCTGCCCGCGGGGATCTCTCCCGTCCTGGCCCCAAGTGCTCCCAGGCCTTGCGGGGTACGGGCTGAGCGCGGGGCGAGGCACCTGCATCACCTCCCCTCGTGCCTCACTGCCGCCTTTAGGGGAGGCGTCGTGAAGCCCATCTCATAGCTGCGGTATTGATGGGTAGAAATGGTAAGAAAAATGCCCCAAATCAGACAGTAAATGGCAGAGCCGGACTGGGAACCCCAGTCTATCAGAGCCACCGCGAAACCTGTTGCCTCTCTCCTGGAGGTGATTATCCGATTTCACTTACCTTGGCTCATCCTTAGGATGCTTTCCTGCAACCCCAGCACCAGACCGAGTCCCCCTGAACACGTGACTTGGATGCTCCGAGCAAGGCACTGAGGCCAGGCCATCCACTGCCTCTCCGGGCTCCCGCTCAAACCTTTTGTCACTCAGACCTCAGGCTTCTTTCCCAAAGTTTTGCGCTTTCTCAAGAGTGCTCTTAATACACACCCGCACCCCCCCATCCCCCCCCAACACACTGTAGCTATCTGTAGTATCATGGAAAGGTCACTGATGATGTCAGAAGTCCTGGGTTCAAATGCTACTAGATACCATCCATATCCAGCTTTGCAACCCTCTGCAAGCCTCTTTGAGTGTCAGTGGTCCCCTCCATGCAAAGGGAGAAATACTATTCGCCCCACCAGCTCAGTGGGCTTGTCCTAAAGACAACTGATTAAAGGCACATTATAAACTGTAAAGTGCGGTCCCCACATCAGGTATTACTAAGCACTTTGTGTTATGGCCTATTGGATCTCATCTTTGGCCCTGGTTAAGCCTGGGTCAAAAGGACTGCCAGGAGCCGGGCTGTTTCCGGCCTCTGCTCTGGGAAAGATTGTCTCTTTCCCCAGGAGAAACCTACTTGACTCTTTGACCCTTCTCGGAGATTTTCCTCATGATCAGTTTATCTGGCTCCAGAGCAAGCCTCTGGCCAGCCATGCACCGCAGCGAGAGCAGGGCGAGCCCCGGCAGCTGCCTCTGGGAGCCTCGGGGTTAATGCTTGTGCGTCAAAGTTACATTGAGAGAAGGGGCCACAGGGCGGTTGGGGGTGGTGGAGAATCTAGACCTTCTTTTAACATCTTTACCTGCCAGCCCAACTGGGGAAGTTTAAAGACAGAAGGGAGCCCGACGCGCTCCTGGGGAAGGGGAAGGAGCGGTCTTGTGACTGAGAGCAATGAGTTCTGCATCCTAACGGAGCCCAGGCGGGACCTGGAGCTGGAGCCTGTCCATGGACCCCACCGGGAGGGACTGAGACTGGTCCGCTCCCCTGGGGGTTGCAGAGCCACAGGCTGTTTACAAACTGCCTTTTTGCCCACTGGCTCCCTTAATCCTCCCAACAACCCAGACAGGTAGGCAGAAGGGCACTGCTCCTTGCCAGATGGGGTCAGAGAGGTTAAGAGAGGAAGGATGGGCAGGAGGCAGGGATGTGCAGATGGACAGCCCCTCCCAGCCCCGGAGCCCTGAGGATTGCCCCTAGAATGCAGCCTGCAGGCGGGCATTGCAGGAGGGACAGACACCGATATTTTGCCCCCCTCTCCCTGCTCAGAAGTGCAAGCGGTTCCCACTCACGCCAACCCTGAAGTGACGGTAGATGGCTCTGCATGGACGTGCCACTGGGCCCCCAGTCAGACTTATTTTCCAAGGCAGCTACAACTTACCCTTGATACCACAAGAGTCAGGCAAGACTGGAAATGGAGCTGAAATGAACAAAATCCCCAAGTTGCTTGCAAAAGTGGCTCTTCACACACATCTCTAGATGCCGCCTGCCTCCTACTAAGCCTAGGAAACCTCCCCAAACCAAGAAAAGAATCAGACTTATCTTACCCGGAGACTCAGAAGGAATGGTGCTCCTGGTGCTCCTACTCCAGCTCCTACAGGTCTGTGAGGATTAGCTGCTCCAGTGCTTTAACAATAAACCGAATTAAAGGGGAGGAATGCAGGGGTTTTCTTTCCCAGGACCGTAACCAGGCAGTCTTAAAGGGGAGGAAAAGTAGCCATGGTGGCTTGCATCTCCTGCCTTTTCTCTGCTTTGCTTTCCCTCCCTCCCAGCAGCATTGAGTCTGATCCAGAAAACTGCTTTTGCAAAGGGCCCTTTTATGCCTTGTGTGTGTGTGTGTGTGTGTGTGTGTAATTGTGTTTGCACTGATGTGTGTAATGGAAAGAGAGGGAGGAAGAATAAAAAGCAAATATAAAGCCTCACATTACAGGTTTCCATTGGCCTGAATGGGGTGGTAACAGAAAATCAGAGCAGCTTTCTAGGACTGCCTGCCTCAGTTTCTCTTTTCAGTTGCTGGAGTGTGTTGTGTAAAAACATCTTCTGGGGCAATAGGATATCTACACTGGTTGAAATGTAGGGATTGAAGACCCCTCTGTGTCCATTTGTCTCTTATAGAATGGGAAGAGAAGCAGGGGGACCCTCTGTTGGGTGGTTCTTCCCCACATCTCTGATATGTCTCCTCTTCGCTGTTTCTAGAAGCACAGCATCCTGATCCCAAAAACCTACCATCCTCTTTTCAGTCCTAACCCATTAGACCTTAGGAGATCACTCCCCTTCTTCTGGAAACTCTTCTGACTCTGCTCCCCTGTACTCACCTCTCCATCCTGCTCTTGATCATCTCAGCCTCCTTTTGGCTGCTTCTTCAGTGTAGGTTCCTTGAACTTCTGTCTTCTGCCCCGTTGCTTTCTCTTTCTCTACTCTTTCCTTAATCTCAACATCCACTTACAGGGTCTGTTACCCTCATCATGTGAATATCCCCAATCAACACCCCCATCTGGGTTGTCCACCTTAACCTTAACATCCATATGTCCACTTCCATCTACAAATAATCCTGAATGTATAATAGCTTCCTTTAAACCACTCTTCTCCCATTTCCCCATCCAGGCTGCAGAGCTACCATCTTCCCAAACACTCATGTTAGAGAGCCAGGCACTTTCTTTGGCTGTGTTGTTTCTTTCATTGCCTTCCAAATCCAATCAGCTGTTATGCACTTTCAGTTGTTTCTTTGAATTAGCTTTTAAATTGTGCCTTTTCAATTATTTAAAAATAATTTGTGCTTTTTGAATAAATAGCACAGTCATTTGGGTCAGAAATCAGAACTATATTAAAAGACATACACTGAAGTGTCTCACCCCACTCTCACCCCACTCCACTTCCCCTCCACCCCCTCTCCCCTGCCCTGCCCTCTATAGGTGGCCACTCTTATTAGTTTCTTGTATATCCCTCCAGTATTTCATGTGGATGCAAGGAAAAGGATATAGATATAGATACATAGATAGATACAGCTATCGATAGATATATATGGATATCCCCTGCCATCCTTTTTTACACAAAAGGCAGTAAGTAAATGCTGCCTCTTTTTTTTTTTTTTTAAGATTTTATTTATTTATTTGACAGAGAGAGACACGCGAGAGAGGGACACAAGTAGGGGGAGTGGGAGAGGGAGAAACAGGCTTCCCGCGGAGCAGGGAGCCCGATGCGGGGCTCGATCCCAGGACCCTGAGATCATGACCTGAGCCGAAGGCAGACGC